TCGTCGTAGTAGTAGTAATAGTAGCAGCAGTAGTAGCAGTAGTAGCAGTAGCAGCAGTAGCAGTAGCAGTAGCAGTAGCAGTAGCAGTAGCAGTAGCAGTAGCAGTAGCAGTAGCAGTAACAGCAGCAGCAGTAGTAGTAGTAGTAGTAGTAGCAGCAGCAGCAGCAGCAGGAGTTGTAGCAGTAGAAGGAGCAGCAGCCGTAATAGTCGGAGGAGGAGTGGGAGTGGGAGTAGGAGTAGGAGCAGTAGGAGTAGGAATTGCAGTATATTGCAGTTGATGTAGCCTTAGCGGTTACGTAGACGTAGCCGTAGCCGTTGAGCCGTAGCCATCGTCGTGGCAGTTGCAGTGGCAGTGGCAGTGGTAGGTGGCAGTGGCAGTGGCAGTCGCAGCAGTAATAGCAGTAGTATCGGTATTCTGTGACAGCCATCATGGCAGCATTACAATCACAGGCTCGCATGAACGTGCAGTGCAGGTCGCATCTCAGAGCTCGTGCTCGCCATACACAGCCCGCAGCCCTTGGAGGCGTCGCGGGCCTGCGGCGAGGCCTGGTCGGAAGCCGCGGCTTCATTGAGCACTTTTCTGCCTCCAAAACATGTAGTCTTTCGCTTTTTGTGGTATTCCAGCGTGAGGCTGCCGTCCTGCAGCCTATCGCGGCCACGACAAAGCCGGCGCTGGCATAAAAGAATCCAAATCAGGGTTTGGAATCTTTGAGATCAAGGCTGCCCCTGATTTTCAAGACTAGCCCTGGTAAACCGATTCACACGGCTGACGGATGGGATCGTTTTGGACTAGCCTCTCTGCCTCCAGATGCGTGTGTTACTCTGCCCCTTGGGATTTCCCAAGCCCAAAGGTGCTCAGCTTGGAAATGCCCGGGTGGTCGTGAATTCTCTTCGTCACGACGTCGGGCGTCTGTGGTAGCTAATCCGTATACATGCCACTTAGTTCACGACCTTGTCGAATCCAGGACCTGGGCATGTGCTTTCCCTTTGCCGGGGCCCCGCGAGGGACTCCGAGGAATTCTTTGGTTGTCCCTCAATCCTTGATCCGCGACGGCTGTCGCCGTCCAAATCTTAGGCGCAACCAAAGTAGATGACCAAGAACTAATAACCTACCGGCCCATGGGTTCCCATTCTCGGAGCCAAAACGTTCTCAGAGAATTTGTCCATGCTGCATGGGGCTCCCTGCAGGTTCACCCTTGAGTCAGGGAATCTCGCGAGGTTTAGCAAGCTTCCGACATGGTTCGCGCATCTCACGTACATGCCGTCATCGCACGTGGACCACGTGCTTACGCAGATGGGCAGCTATGTATGCATTCATCTATACATCTATGCACGCGCGCGCGCGTGTGTGTGTGTGTGTGTGTCTGTGCATGTGTATGCATGGATCCCTGTCAGCCTGTCCTGTCCTGTCCGTCCCTCCCTTCCGTCCGTTTGTCCGCCTGTCCGTCCGTCCGTCGGTCTGTCCGTCCTGTTGTCTGTCCGTTCGTGTGTCTGTTCGTCTGTCTGTCTGTCTGTCTGTCTGTCTGATTACTTCTGTGGCTTTCATGTGTGGATGGGTGGATGTAGACAGGTGCACATCTATGTATAGACATAACAGAGCTGCAGTGTGGCACCAGTATGCCCGAGTCTAGAAGTCATGTAATGTAGCACCCCCATCCGGACATCTGAAGCTTCGAATGTGAGGTGAGGCACATGAGAGATCAGTTCAAGATGAATGTCTTGGCAGTTGAGTGCGCCTGTGAGCAGATTGAGATATGTTCGGAAGCAGGTTCACCTTATGGTTGTGTCTGTCTGATTCCATGTTCGTGTGCTAAGGATTCATTGCAGGGCAAGAACAGCTCTGTTTCCTCCCAGGTACCCCGGCTACGGCCTGCTCCATGGCATCTCCTCCTCCTCGGAATCTGCTCTGAAGGAGGCCCAAGAGCACTCTGATCTACGGTAGCTCTAAGTAGGCCCTAATTAACTTAAGAAAATCGAAATTGGGGAAACATCTGAGACTTTCGGAGTTTGGTGGGGCAGCGCAGCATACACAGTGAAAGAGGGTCCGTAAGAGCCAGGGCATCTTGCAGTTCTCTTTTTCCCTTGTAGATAGTTACGATGACATGCGTCTATGCCTGCATAAAAATGGATAGGATAGCTAACTAACACAAGCCACATACACATCTTCATCGCGTAAGTTGGCTCCTTCTCCCACCCCTGCCGCCACCTTGAGGGCCCCACCTACCTCCCACTTCACCGAAAACGTCAGTACAGCAGACATCAGCATCGGAGCCATAGTCATTCGGCAACATAGCCGCAGCATACATCTGCAAAAGTGAAGACATCAGCGTTGCCTAACTGTTTCACGTTCAACGCAGGCCCGTCGTTGACAAGCACAAGCATCGACGAGTTTGTAGGAGGGTAAAGGGGACCAGTGTTTTTGTTTTGGTGGAACAGGGGGGGTGGAAGGGGGGCAAGATTCGGGGCGTGCGCACAAGAAAGATCGACAGAAGAAAGAAAGAATAACGAGAGAAAGAACTACAAAAAGAAATAGCTAATGAAACGGAGAAAATCAAAGCAAGAAAGAGCCAGAGAGAGAGAGACCCGAACCTAAGCGTGTGATCTTACTTGTCAGTGCTTGATGCTTAGATTTATCCAGTGGGGCTTGTTGGTGTTTGCTGCATAGTTGTTTTCCAGTCGGGACGTCAACAAGTGGTAGCCGCTGGGGCACGGAGATGAGGCCTGGATGCGGAGAGGTTCATAGTGTATGTATGGGGTGGGGGCTTGTAGCATGAAGCACGGAGCAATCTCTGTTTTCTTTTGCCTCCGTCATCAGGGACTCCAATGCCAACCACTGAATAAAGCATCGGGTGCTTGGGCTTGGGCGGGCCAATGGCGTGAGGCTCGCGCAGCCGGCAGAAAGAAAGAACACAACCCGAACCATATCCTTAATACGGTTCTTTTTTCGGAGTCTGCTGTTTTTACACCCTCCCTATAAAGCCCGCCAACAGGGGCGCGCTTCTCGGCGCTGGGGGCCGGACAAGCTCCCTCTACCGCGGAGTGAAGTGAGGTGAAGAGAAACACGAAATAAAGACAGAAAGGAGGAGAGACGGAAGGAGAAATGACGGAACAAAAAAATAAACAACCAAAGACATAATGGACGAAACAAGTGCATAAATCAACCAAGAACGCAAGACAGGGAGAAAGAACTAGCTAACGAAATAGATAAGGACAGAAAGGAGCAGGGAGAGACAGAGAGAGAGAGAGAGAGAGAGAGAGAAAGAGCACATCTACGAAAGAAGCAAAGACAGAACGACAGAAAGACAGATACCACTAGAGAAGGAAAGACACCCGAGGGTAAAGAGAGTTTGTTTCTTGCATTGAGGAAGAAGCTTTGCCATGTGTCGTTCAGCGCAGGCTCATGCTTTATGAACCAGTTCGCAAACAGAGCCTACTGTGACCTATAGAACAAGGAGCACTGCATCAATCACATTCGCGCACCAACATCTGCTCGCCTTTGTAATACGCTTTCGTCCGCTCTATCACTCGATGCATGACTAGGCTTCAAACTGCAGGTTGCCCTGACTGCCTTTCGCTTCATCCTGGACGAGCTGAAGGTTGCGTCAACGGCCCAGAATAACATGCCTCCGTTTAGGCTTCAAGTTTCACCCTCGCCCCGAACCTTTCTCGACCTGGTGATGGTCTTGTTCTGTTGGTCACTTGAAGGGTGGATCAGGAACGGTTTTTGGAATAGCATGGGGAAACAGGACTGCAGCTGCAAGGCTCTAGCACCGGCGCGAGCAGGTCTTTGGAGCTTTGCCCGTCTGTAGATGCCGAACACTTCCTTTAGAAGCTTTCGTTGCGTTCTTGGACGGAAACACTACATATTCTATTTGTAGTTCTTGATTCAAGCCGCAGCCACAACCTGTCACGTTCGTAGCGCTGGAGGGCCGTAAAGCTGCAGTTCGCCATGCAGGTGGCAGGTGCCATAGAAGGTTGGACGACTGTGCCCTTTACGATGCAGCCAGCGTGCAGAAAGACATGTAGTCGCCACTCTTAATGGCGACAAAACATCATGTTTGCACTTGCATACGATAGTGATGGTCATCATCATCATCGCCACCATCAGGCGCTACCACGACTGTCATCATCGTCGTCATCACCACCGAGGTCATCATCATTCTTTTCATCATCTTGAGCAGCAGCAACCTGACAATCATCTTCGCCAGCATCGCTACTATCAGGATGATAATGATGATGAGGATGACGACCACCGCCATGATCACAGGAGTACAAGCGGCGACAGGGATCAGAGGAAAGGGGGAGAGGTTTTGAGTCCGAGGTACGAGCAGATCATCCTTTTCGGCCGATCTGTCGGGTCTGGGCCCACTGTCTACCTGGCGAGCAGGCGCTCGGTCTGTTCCCTGTGCACCCCTCATCCAAGCCATTGTGCGCCGGAAACTACAAGCTCTGTCCATCCATAGAAACCCCCAAACCCTAGTGACTAGTGATGTGCGGGCTTTGCGGCTCACCGCCCTTGACTGCGAGTTCGTTGGCCTTGACTCCGAGCGTCCATGGTAGACACACCAGAACAAGCCGATTGCACACCTGAAGCCTTTCGGTGCTCAAAATACGCAGCTCTTGCACTGGCAGTTACTGGCCCAAAATGTGTCAACCTTTGCACACGCTGCTTTCTATCGATGCAATGCGTTCGTTCTTGCCGATCCTCGTACAAACAGACGGCCCAGCAACATCGTCATCGTCATCATAGTGATAGTGATGCCAAGACGGCGTAGTGCGGCGAGAAGGATACCAATGAACAGCAATGACAGCAAGCCCTCAGCTCTTGGACCTTGCGTGCTCAGTTGAAAAACATGACGCTTCCACCCTCCCGGATGCCGCATTCCCACCAAGTATGGCGGCCGCGGGCTCCAGAAAGGAGCTTCAGTAATGTAGAGGCCCGAATAATTGGTAGCTGCTATCACCCCCGTAGTCCCTATATAACTGTCACTGTACAGTTACACTAAATGGAAGCCGCCCGTAGCGTTTCCGAAGAACTCCTGCTCCAAGTCCTCAGATCCCCACAGCCCACGCAAAAGGTTTCCCGTCGGCGGCCTCATCCTCGTGGCGGCCTTTGCTTCGGTCCGGGAGGCACACGGGCACAGCGGGGGTAAGTTCGGGAGTTCGGGAACAGTTCGGGGAGTGTAGGGGAGTGGGTTTAAGACGCATAACTTCTCGTCCAGCCATGAGCCGCGGAGGCCCAGCTACACGTATGTTGGTCACAGCCCTCCAAAGAGATCTGGAGCTCCACGACATTGCGATGCTGGACGAATTGGGTTTCTACGTCATCCGTACACTGATCGCATTCCGGAAGAGTCACCTTGATGGTCCTCTGAGCACTGAGATGCACAGCTGCCAGGGCGACAGGCCCTTGAGAATTGTGACTTGAGCTTTACCGACGGAGGCAGCAAAGTCGCTGGTGGGCCCCTTCGTGGCAAACGTGTCTCGGCCCGGAGTCAGCTGCGTTTGAGAAAGGAGATGGCTTTCCGGTCCAGGATTCTGCCTGAAAAAGCCCGGAACCCTGAGTCCCTCTCCCATCTGGACTTCACCGAGGTCCTGGAAGAGCGGTTCCCAAACATCGCTCTGATAGGACCGGGCCAGGGCGTGCCCCCGGCGAACCGCACGGTGTGCAGGGTGTAGGAGTTTCATTGGGTTTGAGCAAGTCGACTTGCAATAGCTCTGATTTCGTAATTCTCTGAGATGTTCGGCAATGTGCGATGGAGAAGCCCAGCCACAAAAAGGTGCCCTGTAGGCCAAAAGCTTTCTCTAAGATCTTCGCGATAGAGGCGATGAGGTGCAGGAGTGCTTGCTTAGGGAATGTTCGAGTGTACCCAGCGCTGGCGGCCCTCGCTCGCATCCTTCGAAGGAAACGTCTCCTGCCCCACGCTGTTCATCCACGGCGAAAAAGACAGCTTGGTGCCGCCATCGCACTCGGTCGATCCCTCGGTGAACACTTCAGAGCAAGCGCAGAAAGAGCCGATGCCCCTCAGAATCAGAACCGAAACAATTCGAGCGCCTCGCCGGACTCGAGACTCGTCTCGAGCGAGTCGGCGCCCTTCCTTAAGCATGTTACGCTCACTAGGTGAGACTTGGCGACACTTGGGGGCTGCCGTGCATTTCCACCCAGTTCTCGCCCCGTGCATTTGCCAAGGCAGAAAGAGTCGCAGAGTCCGGGACACCTCCTCTAGACTCTAGACTCTATAGACCTCCCGTGGAAGCACAAATGCCCGACCCTTCCATCTTTTTTTCAATGTCTACAGTCCGTGCGCCTGAGGTGGCCCTTTTCAAGCAGTGTCGGTCACGGAAGTTGCTGATTACACCACCAGGCACCAGGACCAAGATGCTTTTCAGATATCTCGCAACATCTTAACATGAAGTATGTCCATGGTCGATGGTTTGGGTAATCGAGGGTGGACATCAAAGCCACAGGCTTCGACAGCCACAGAGCAGTTGTCGCCGCACGACGACCCACCAGTACTGGTTACCAAAGTATTAGAATTACAACTACTCCTGCAGAACTACGACCCCTGCTACGGCTGCAGCAGCCGCTGCCGCTCCTAATATTGTTGCTATACTACTAGTAGTAGTCCCTGCCACCAGTGTGAAACCCAGCTGTCTTGCCGAAGCAGGCATGGAGCACAACACAAACTTATTCGTGGATGCCGCCGCCCAAGTTACCGTTGTCGGCGAGCATAATCATATGTCTCATACGTCCGTCGTCTCTAGGCGCGTCTAATCAGCTGTCTTTCGGTATCTTGTGAAAGCATTGCGGTGCACAAGCAGCACTTGCTACCGACTGGGCAGTTTGCCCAGCAGGCACCTTTGCTGCAGGTCGGCATACTTGGCTTTCGCGCCCTTTCGACGTAGCCCGCTCGGCCCCCATGCGAGGCTCAGTACCTGGCAGTGCCTGCCATCAACTTCTTCGGTCTTCCGGGCTATCAGCAGGCCCATGAGGGATTCCAGAGGTAGGGGCAAGGCATCGTCTCTCCGTTGCCGCTCGATGCCTTGTTTCTGGTGTTGAGCTGCCAGTCAGTCGTTGCACGATCCAGTGGCTTTCGTTCTTCTGTGTTATCATCTTGCGGCACTTCTTCCCCCCCCCCCCCCCGGAGGTGGTGTCTATGTTGTCGTTCGCATGCTTCCTCTGTGCGCGCGTGCATGCGTGCGTGCGTGATTGCTTGTTTGTTTCTCTGTGTGGGTCTGCGTCTCTGGATGGGTGTGGGGGTCTTCTTTCCCTGTTCTTGAGCTCGGCTGCGGCATTGGCAACGAAAGTCACAGGACACTGTGCACTGTATCGACAGTACTTGCACTGTGCAAGGAGTCCCCTCCTCAGATGCCAAGTCGCTACTTCGAGGACGGCAGACAGGCGTGCGGCTCTCAGCTGTCCAGGAAAGTTTGGAACGCTTCACTACGCCGCTACCCATTCGTGAGTTATGTTTGCAAGGATTCTGAGGCCCTCGTTTGTTTGCAGCATCGCCTCTGCGCGAGCCCTTCTGCAGTCCCGTGTGAACGGGATGTACCAGAAGTGCTCGCGCACCCGTTCAGCGGAGTACCAGTCTCGAAAGCTTTCGCCCATGTTACAAAGTCCAGCAGCTTGTCTTCTTGCAACTAATTAATGCCTTTGCGGAAGGAGGCTGTTTGCTGAATAGGCGGGCGGTGGGAGAAGGTGGGGCAGACGAAGGGCACCTTTGTCGTAGCCTTGAAAGGAGTCTTTTTGTTTTTGTTTCCCTTCAAACTCGTCCTCTACTCACTCTGCTGAGTTCGATCTGCAGTGAGGCGTTGAGCGCCAGAGTCAGAATCCGTAGCATGGGCCCCAAAGGTTCCTCCTCCGCAAGGCCGCAAGGAGGCCTCGGACAGAGCGGTAGCTGCTGGTAATTTGTCTGAGTGGGTTTTTTTGGGTTCTGGGCACTGCGAGCCTGCATTTTCCAAACGACTGCTTCGCGTCGTAAATCAGCACTTCGCCCCAAGACGAATCTTAAAGCTCCAAGCCTAAACTCCCTCAAATGGCGGCCCCAAGCTCTCTTCGATCCGGAAGTCCACGGAGGGGCCAGGGCTTGGATGCGGCCGACAGCAGCCCTTGGCCCGGAGACCAAGAGATCTGGAAACTCTGGGTTCCTAGAGTTCAAGACGCAGCGCGTCGGGTAACTTCAGTGTTCAGAGGAGGAGAGGTCATGCTGAGCGCGTCTAGGTTGAAATGCCATGCCGACTGAAGCTCTTAGGCGTGCAGGCCAGGGTTCCTGCGCTCCAGGGATCCGATGCTTCGCACACCAAAGCACCAAAACCAAAGCACTCCCCAAAACCCATACCTCAAACCCACAACCTCCATAAATCCGAAGAGTACCCCTTACCCCCAACCTCACACTCAATACCCCCCTACCACCCCCCCCCCCCTACGCTTTTACACCATGTTTCAAACAGCCTAACATCTCACCCCTTCCTGATACAATCCAAACCAAAAGCGCCTACCAAATACACCTACCATCTACCCACCCCCATCCATTCTACAATCCCCAACAACTCCAAACCAAAGCCACCTATGCCACCTATGAGATCCCGGACCTTATCCATTCTACAATCCTCAAAAATGTCTCTATTCGGACACAAAGAGTCCGACGACCTTACTTGGCAACAAACCAGAGTTCTTGACACCGGAAGCGGGCGAGTCCAAACGGTGTGCCCGGCTTGTTTGATTGCTTGCAATCCTGAGCTTGGTTCTGCGCATTGCTTACGGCCGGCCAGGTGCAAGCACTTGCTGTGAATGTCCGCAAGTCTGACTCAAGTCAAGATTCTGTGTTTCAGCGCAATGAGACGCTACCAAGCCCTGACACAGCTTGCCACCAAAAGGCTATGGTGGCCACAGCTGGCGTGGTTTTCGTCCAGTCCTGACCGCTTGCAAGCGATCTTTGATATAGAGGACCTCGAGACTCGCTGCAAGGCTCTGGCCGCCGTTGTGGAGCTGCAAGCACGGATTGACACTGAGCGCAAGAAGATCGACACTGAGCGCAAGAAGATCGACGATGAGCGCCAGAAGAATGATGCCTTGGCAGGCGAGGTCATTAAAAACCTGCACCGGGAAGTTCAGCAAGCCAAGGGCCTGATGACGGCCCGTGGCGTATTTGAGCGAGTCGCAGAACTTGCTTTCGTAGAGCAGGGCTGCAAGGTCAGGGTCAACACCTCCTTTGCAATAGACCGAGCTCTCAACAATCCGGACCCCAAAAAGCCATGGTCGAAGTTCCTGTTCGACACGATCCAAAAATGCTCAGGAGAAACCGAGACCCAGAAGATGATCAACGTGGCGACGGGGATATACTCGCAGCTTTCGCAAGAAGTGCATGGCAGCCCATGGTCAGGCGTAGAAGTGAAGCTTTTGGGCCCTCTCGATGGAACGGGCATATGTGTCATAAAGGAAATGTGTGAACAAATGGGGCTTCCGCATTCGCCACGCCCATAATTAGGCTGGAGCACAACGGATATCGCAGCCAAGCCAGCTACCTAACTTGCAGGTGCTAACTGCAGGTATCGCGGTATAGTTTGCAGTCGTTTTGGAGTCATGGATAGGGAAATGCAGTTGCTGGCACACTTTACAGAGGATACCCAATCCACGCGCCCCCTACCTTCGCCAGAGTCCAGCAGAAGCCGACAAAAACAGTTCCGGAGTGTGTTTTTTGTGAGCACGTGGACCTTTTGACTTGCACGCCCCTCATGAACAGATGTCAATGCATACGCCATACGCGTCAGGTGGACGTGAACACTGACGACATTGCCACCGGCTGGTTCCATTTGGGCGTGCAGTCTTTCGTCTACTGGGTGGGCAGGTTTAGGCGGTTTAGGATTAGGTTTAGGCGGTTTGGTTTTAGGGGTTAGGATAGGTGGCTGAATTTGTCCCACAAAACGCCTTGTTTTTGTTTTTTTAGTTTCTCTGGCGATTTGAGGGGCAAATGCCTTAACAAAATAAATACATTCATTTTTTATACACGATACAAAAAGCGCATAAAATACAACATACAACATAGAAGTAAAGAGTTTTTCGGGTTTTCTGGACATAAAAAGCCGAAAAAACCAATAAATACAGAAGACATGTTGACATACATAGCAAAACCTATTACAAAACAAACAAAACGCTAAAAAGACACAAAACATACAAAAATACACATGAATTTTTACATAACCTATTTTTTTGAACTTGCTATTTTTGGTGGGTTTTTTACACCTTTAACAGTTCGTGCCTTAAAAAACCTTTTGTATCATGCCCTAAATAGTAATAGTTTTGTCCCAATTTCTTTTCAATCTTTTTAACTGTTTGTGGTGTTTTATTCCAATGCGATGTTCTCTCTTTTTCGCTTATGCCTTTTTTACGCATTACCTTAACATCGTCCCCGACCTCTATTTCAGGATATACACGAGACCTTTTCGCCTGCAAAGTTGTGTTTAATTTGACTTCAAATTCATTTTTCTTTTTACGTGCTTCAATGGGTGTCATTTTCGTCGCCGATGAAACCAATTTGTTATTGTATGTTAAAAGTATCTCTAAGTTATAATCCGTCCATTGTATATTGTCTTTTCCTTTTTTCTCATCGGCTTCAACACGCTTGAAAAGCATATCTTTGTATGTTCTTATAAATCTCTCGGCAAAAGCTGGACGTCCCCGTGTCCTATGTATCTCAATTTTCTCACCCTCTAAGTATTCTATAATGGTTTGACTATATAAACTGCCCTCTTCGTCCGAATAAAACATTTCAGGTTTTCCTCCCATTTTTTGTAGTCCTTCCATTATTCCCGCTAACATATCAGGCGGCTGCTTACTCATAATAGGTATAACAGTAGCATATTTACTAAAAATATCAATTAAGACTAAACCTACTAATGAAAAACAAATCCAATTGAAACTCAAAAAAACTATGTGGTGCTATAAAACTGTTTTCGCCTCTCATTTTCCGTTTTTCCTCAACATTATTTTTAAAGAATTCCTCCACATCTTCCTTTGTAATACTGGTATCCTTCTTTTTTGCGTCTTGTAGGGTTGTTGCCTTGCTTCCAAAACCGGAGCGGTCCTAATATATATCGTGTATAGTTTTTTGTTTATCCGAACTCATATAAATAACATTAGATATTTATTTAATGTGCTGATACATTACAATAGAAACAATAGGCACAACAATTATCTAAACTGTGTGCGTAATCATTACAAAGACGCTGCGCTGTAAAGTTGCTACATAACTTGCCCTGCGTCACTTCGAAATTAAAAGGGGTATTACACTTATCGCACCTGCTCTTAAACTTGTTTAAGCACCACTCGGGAGTTATGTATTCTTCGTCGTTGATTTCTCTCTTTGCTTTTTTGTCTTGCAGTTTGTAATTTTCAACCTTGTTGTTAAAATATCTCATTATCATATTTTTATCCATTTGTTTCTCCATTGAACTGTTTTTAAAGAGCCGGCCTTTTTTAAAATCAACGCAACGGGTAAGTGCTGTCCATACCCACTCTCTACTTGCTATTGGTAAATCAAATTCGTGTATAGTTATACTCCCCTTTACGCTTGCCCCCTGACTTGAATGGCAAGTAGCGCAATATGAATAGATAAAGTTAGCATCCACGACGGGCTCGTATAGCATGAACTCATTTTCAACATCTGCTATGTTTTGTAATGTTATTTGTAATCCTTTCTCATCTTTTCAATTTTGGTTATCCTGTATCTTATATTTACATTTACTCTGGGTTGTTTAATCCATTTTCTGGCGATTAGTATTTCGCCCACTTCGTATTTATCTTTCTTGTTTAACCTCTCTCTGATTTCATTTGCTACATTTCGGCATCTTATGTTGGTGTAGGCGATGTTATGCTCCGATGCCGTGATGTCGTCAGTCGTTTCAAAGTATTTCGGTATTATCTCTTCAACAGGCAACATCTTCACCCAAAAGTCATTATACATATTATTAATGATTTCCCTGTTTATGTCTCCTTCTTCGCTGTCCTTCGCTCCTACCCTCT